TTTACTGTTGTTATATTATTAGTAGTATTATGGAGATTGCATGATGTTTCTTATAAATTTCACATAGGAATTAATTTCACATAAATAAATAAAATAATTTTAAATTTATTTGAAATATTACAAAACAAGAATAATATTAATACTGTATATTAAATAATTATATACTGAATAATAAATACTGTAAAAATCTTTATGGAATTTGGCTCATATTATATGATAATTTGTTTTATGCTACAACAACATTTGTAACAATACATTATAAATATATTAAAATGTATATTAAAGCATATTATTATTATTTGCTATAATTATTAACTTTAAAAATAAAATCACACCTACATATATTTTTAAGATTGCAAGATGTTCCTTATAAATGTTTATATATAAACTCATTCCATAAAAAGTTAATTATTTTTTATTAATTCCAGTTATTAAAGAATAATAAGAGGAATAAATTGTAACGTCTTTATGGAATGTGTTTCATATTATTATATGACAACTTGAAATAAGCATAATAATAATTAGCACTATCGTTAATGTTACTATTAATTATTTTGGTCATATATCAATAAAATGTTGAAAAAGGATGATTAAACCCAATATCACTGTCCTGTGTGAGTTTACACTGAAGTCTGCAACATCATTAGAAACATGCTAATGCAAAACTACTGGAATCAACTTTAAAGGGGTCATATGATGCGATTTCATTTTTTCCTTTCTCTTTGGAGTGTTACAAGCGACCCCTTTAAAGTTTATTTTTCTGAATCAGTCGTTTAGCATAAATGTTAGCGGTTAGCATGCCGTCAGTCTAGAGCAGGGTTTTAGCACAGACTCGACGTAAAGCTATTCCAGTGAAATCATCAGTGGAGACTCGGTAAAGCGAGAGTCAGTGACGAGCGAGGGCTGATTACGAGCGTAACGTGTAATCACCGGTTTTGAGGTTACGGGTAAAAGCTTGCGCGCGCGTCAAGACGGTCCGGTGCGCCGCGGGTCACTACATCAGCCTCGCGCTGAATCACGCTGAAAGCCTTTAATTATTATAATCGTCTCCTCATTCCTGCCCACAGACTACAATAAGGGTCATTACGACACAGAGAAAAGGTCTGGTAACCGCCACAACAGCGCAAACACGCGTGATTCATCCGCAGCCTCTATCATTAGCACTCACACGATTAAGTGGCTTTACCGGCTTAAATATGGCAGATTTGGGGTCATTCTCACTTAGCAGAGAAGTTTTTCCACAGTAACTTTGATGGTACATCCACCCGTCTGCCATTTCCTTCGGTTTAGCGCGCTATTGTTTCCAAGATCTCTCTAAAACAAGTGAAGTTTCGCGTCTCTTCGATCAATGCAGTGGCTGTCCTTTGGTATTTGTACGCAAAAGCTGCGTGTGAACCGTTTCACACTCTCTCTCTCTCTCTCTCTCTCTCTCTCTCTCTCGTGTGCGCATGCGTGGGCGTTTGTTGAGTGAGTGTGAAGAGCGTGTGGTGAGTTCGAATGAGTTTTCTGCCCGCTGTGGCTTTCCTTACATTTTTTTTCTTTTTATTTTATTTTTTTTCTTGTATGGATATTGCTTTTTTTAATGTTTGATCTGCATTAGGTAGATAAAACATTATTTAGTTTTGGGCGTTTTTTCGCCAGTGATTCACTGAGGGCATGGCGGCCCAAAGTGTTGACTCGTTCGGTTCATTAACGCGGCGCCATGGAGTTAAAGTGGTGGCCGCTGCAAGTGTGGAAGATTGTATCTTGCTCTCTCTCTCACACACACACACACACACACACACACACACAATGTAAAAAGTGTCAAAACATTTAAAAATAATACAATTATAAATAATAATAAAATAATACAATATACTTAAAAATAGTTTCAAAATATTTATAGAATGTTAAAATATTTAATATAAATTAAATTAAATTCACAAAATATATTACTAATAAATATGATCGATAAATAACATTTTACAAAAATCATATTTTATATCTACAAAAAACAAAAGAAACATGTTCAAAAGATGAAAAAATATGTACTTTTTACTTTAAATATTTGTTTATATCTACAAAAAATATATGCATAAAATTTAACATTTATAAAATTATATTTAAAGATTTCATATAAATTATCATAAAAATACAAAATATATAATTTTTAAATAAATATAAACCCTACATTCATTGTAGGGTTTATATATACAATGAATGGATGTTCAAAAAATAAATAAAAGAATAAAATAAAAGACTTTTATTTAAAAAAATATACTAAAATGTTTAATATAAATAATAAAATCAAATACATATATAACAAAATAAATAGAATAAATATAAATAAAATCAACATTACATATTAAAAATAAATTATTAAATTTTTATTTTAAACATTAAAAATAAATAAAAGCATAAAAATAAACATTTATACAAATATATTAAAATGTACATATAAAATACATACATTTAAATTTAAATATATCAATATATTTTAAATTTAAATATATATAAATACATATATTAACAATAAATATAAACAAATATTTAAAAAATAATCTTGGGTTTATATCTATATCAATAATGAAGAGATATTCAAAAAATATAATAAAAATTATATTAATAAAAATATAATTATTGCGATGATTAATATATAAAATAATATCGATAAATAAAATAACAATATTAAAAAAATTTACTTTTGTGTCTGTTAGTCCATGTTTGTTAGGTTTTAGCTCATCTATATGACCATAAAACATTTCCAGCCAAAAATGTTGGAAATCATGCTAGTTGGTCTTTTTCCTCCTGTTCTCGTGGTGCTGTTGCATGTTATTCATACATATTCACAGCGACTGATAATAATATATCGTCAGATGTTCTGTCATTAGAAGAGCAGGAGAACAGAGGTGTGGAGAGCCCATGCTGAGGTAAGACTGTGCCATTCATTTATGCTGAAGAGCTGCTTGGTTTCGTCCTTTAAGACATATTTAACAGATGAAAAGGACGCTGTGATGGTGAAAACCAGGCGACTGATGCTTTTATGCAGGGTATGAAGTACAGCAGTTTTGCATAAACCATTAGCAGCGCCAGGCCTTGCATAACAGAAAGCTTTAGCACAGACCGCTGTTTCTGTGACTCTCCTCGAGACGGTTTGAGCTCAATACTGCGATTCTCCTTCGGGAACGCGTGTGGACAGTTCCACGCAGAAATCAAACAAGTTAACACTAAAATTTAGTCTAAATGCATTAAAAAATATATATAATTTTTAATATTTATAAAAAAAAAATTT